AGCAGCCATCTTGGTCTGGCAGAGACCATGCCCCTGACAGGCACCAGCATCAAAGAACCCAATAGCCCCACCCCCAGGTGGGATCCACCCCGCCCTGTACTGTCTAAGCTGCCTGCTGAGTGCAGAGTGGCAGCCACAGACAGTAGATCCCTGGCTAAAGGAGGTGCAGAGAGGTCTGGCGACACTTGAGGAGACACTGGGGACGGAGGCTTTGCAGAGAGAATGGAGAGAGTAGCCAGTGGGATCCCAGTGCAAGCTACTCCCCCATATGGCAGCAGCCTGAGAGGACCCAATAACCCCGCCCCCAGGAGGGACTCCACCCCACCCTGAGCTGTCTAAGGCGGCCTGCTGAGTGCAGAATGACTTGATTAACAGCTGACGGAGATAGCCACAGGCAATTGATTACCGGAAATCTCAAACAGACTGCCTAAGGTCAGACAGGGTCAACCTCTGATATCATCCGAGGCAGATCCAGAAAGTAAAAACAGCAGTCTCCAACCATAGAAGTTCACACCACAACGTCAGGAAATGAAGACAGATCAACTTAAGAATCAGAGGCAAAAAAGAAGAGTCTCACAAATAATGAGAAGACAAAGAAATACGCCCCACTGGAAGGGAAAGGAGGAATCCCCACAAAGAGAACTAAATGAAATAGAGACAAGTAAACTATCAGATATTGAGTTCCAAACAACGGCTCTAAGGAAACTCAATGAGTTCAGTGAGCTCAGAGAAAATTACCAAAAACTACAGGGAAACTATGAGGAACTTACTGCAAACTCTATCAGCAAGAAAAAGGACATAGAAACTATCAATAAGAGTCAAGAGGAAATGAAGAATACAATTTCTGAATTGAAGAAAACAATAGAAGGAATCAAAAGCAGGCTCAATGAAGCTGAGGACCGAATCAGCGAGCTGGAGGATAAGGTAGAAAAAAGCTCCCAGAAAGAGCAAGAAAATGAAAAAAGACTCAAGAAGAATGAAGAGGCATTGAGGGAAATGCAGGACAACCTGAAACGTAATAATATCAGTATAATAGGGATACCAGAAGGAGAAGAGGATAAGGAAGGGATAGAGAACCTGTTTGAAAAAGTAATAATGGAAAACTTCCCTAATTGGAGGAGAGAAAAACTCTCACATGTCCAGGAAGCACAGAGGGTCCCATTCAAGAGGAACCCAATGAGGCCCACTCCAAGACACATCATCAGTAAAATGGCAAGTATCAAAGACAGACAATCCTAAAGCAAGCAAGGGAAAAAGACGTAATAACATATAAGGGAGCCCCAATACGGCTAGTATCTGACTTCTAAGAAACACTGTAGGCCAGAAGGGAATGGCAAGAAATATTCCAAGTATTAATAAGCAAAGGCCTGCAACCAAGACTGCTCTACCCAGCAAGACTTTCAATTAAAATACAAGATGAAATAAGGAGTTTCCCAGACAAAAGCTGGCTAAAAGACTACACCTCCACCAAAGCAGCACTGCAAAATATGCTAAAGGGACTCCTTTAAGATGAAGAAAAAGTTTCTATGAATACCCAGTTCCTTTCAGAGTTGCCAATACTTCATATTACCAATATTTTTTAATACTCATTAATCTGATTATGACAATGATGTTATTTTAATTGTTCCTTTACTATTTGTTGAAACTAAACCTGTTTTAGTATATTTCTTGCCTATTTCTATTATTTAAAAAAAACTTTAAATTACTTTTTGGTATTCTTTATCCATTTATTGACTAAAGGTTTGTAGAACTTTTTTCCAAACAAAAAACCAAAAACCTATTAACCCTTTTATAGATGTGTTGCAAATACTTTTCTATTCCTTGTCCTTTATCTTCTTTTTATATAGTTGAATGTTTAATAAGTCATATTGTTAATATTTACTTTCTAGCTTCTGGGTTTTAATACTTTCCTTCAGGTCATGAAATATATTAGTTCTATTTTCTTCCAAATCTCCTTAGATTCTACATATTGATTTTTAACTCACCTGAATATTTCTTGTATAATGTGTGAAATAGGGCTATTTGTTTTATTTCAAGTAATAGTGGTCCATGCACCTTATTTGTTGAATAAGCCTTATTTTACCCATTGATTTGAAATATCAACTTGATCATATATTGTTACATATATATGTTTGTCTCTAGAATGTTCATTATATTTCATTAATCTACTTGATTATTTCTGTGCTGGTGTTATGTTGGTTTAATTGCTGAGACTTTATAGTGGTTTTAAATTTTTAAAAATATTTTATAATTACCTTTGACATTTAAAACAATAAATAAAATCAATCTGCATTTAAGAAAGAAAGAAAGAGAGAGAGTTGGAACTCCCTACTTTTTGTGACAACATGGATAGAACTGGAGAATATTAAGCTAAGTGAAATAAGCCAGTTGATGAAAAACAAATACCATATGATCCCACCTATAAGTGGACTCTCTTCAACAAAATAAACTATCAAACAAAATAAACCACAGGCACAGAAACATGGAGCAGACTGAAGACCTATACTCATAGACCAGAGGGGATGGGGAAAGAGGACAATGGTGAAAAGAAAGGGAAGGGACTAGACAAAGAACATGTATGAATGACCCATGGACATGGACAACAGAGTGGGAATTGACTGTGGGAGCAGGGGTGGGGGTGGGATGGGTGGAGGGGGGTAAAGGGGGAGAAATTGAGACAACTGTAATAGAATAAACATGATTTGTAAATATAAATAAATAAAATTTTTAAATAAACAAATAATTTTTTTAAAAACCAAAAGATAAAGGAGAAAAAATAATACATTATAAAGGACATGGTACTTATATGTGTGAAATAAAGTTAAATGTTAAACTCCAACCAAAGTAAATGCTATATTTGGGTCTTAGAAATTTTTTAACCAGAATGAGTTTTGCAGTGGTTCTATAAGGGGATGTGATTTATATTTAAGAACTCACTGTGGGTGAATCTCATGTAGAATCAAGATAACAAGACCCACACAGAGTATAGCAATGAAGCTAACTAAGTGAGGAAAGAGAAAATTAATCTTCGTGACCCTCTTTCAGATGCAGCCTTTCCTGATCCCTATCTTCTTACATTTATTTCTGCCCCTCCCATTACTCTAAGCTAATCAGCCAACCCACCACTGTATGAATAAGTTACATCTGGTTTAGTGCCTCCCTTCAGAAAGGTACATGTGTCAGAGGCAGGAAGGCTGAGCTGCAATTCTGGCAAATTTGCACTCCTCAGGTTGATCTACACTGACTTTAGCCACTCCTTTAATATGAAAGACACTGAAGGAAGTTAAGAGTAAATTATTTCTTTAGTTTGCTCATGCTTGAGATTCAAATGGAAAATAACAATGGCAGAAGCAATTCGTTGCAAGTGCCAGGCAACCAAAGCCACAAAGTACCACAAGATGTATAAATACATGCATGCATACATACATACATATATACATACACACTAGTATACTCTAGTGTTTAAGATTCAGTTGAACACCATGGGTCAGGTCAGGAGCAGCCAATAACTTCTTACCTCAGGTCCCTTCTGGAAATTTGGTCTTCACTTCTAGTGAGAATCTGGAAATGGCTCCACTGGTCATCCTCTTCCTGGGAGATGGACCACCTTAACTATTGAGAATTCTGCTTTGGTAGGGGAATAAGTTCCCTTTCTCAGTGATACTCATAGACACTAGTGAATTCGGCTCACTTAGTCTTATCAGGGGGTTCACCCTATGTTGAACCATCCCTGAGACATTAGGACCATTACAGACATGCACACCCTGCCCCTACCTTTTGAGATCAACTTCATAAAGAGCAATTCTCCCACTTTCTTATCAAACACTCCACAGCTCCAGTCAGACCTAGAACCTGAGACGAGTGACAAAGGTGCTTGACCTGGGGATAATTTTATGTTCATATGAGTGTGACTCTTAGGCCAGGAGCAGAAGAGAGAATATGTGTTTCAAGGTGAGTAATAAAGAAGAAAAAGGAACGGACAAAAAGGTGAGTACTGCCTGTTTTATCTCCTCTCCTTAGATAAAACAAGCACTATCTGTCATACTAAAGAGGTGGTTTGATGTTCACACTCCAGCCTGTTACAGAATTAGAAAATCAGCATCACTCATGTATTTCCAAGAGTGGGGTGGGAAGTTAACATTCAGTTGGTAACCAAAGAATGTAGCAAAGACTGTTAATAACCACCACATATACCAGGTATGCCTCTACATATCCCAGACTGCCTTGGGCTTAGATTAGGGCAAACTGATTAGTTCCTGCCACTGAAATGTGTGCAGAAGTGATATGTGTCACTCCTAAGATGAGGCAATTAAGGCATGTTGGCTTTCTGTTGTCATTTTCTCTGCCATGGCGCCCTTGTGCTCAAGATGTGTTTTAGATGGCATTGGTACAAAATAGAAGAGGGCCAACCAACCTGCACCAAAGTTTATGTGAGCAACAAGCAAACCTCTGTTGTTTATTTGTTACTGCATCAGAGTCTAGCTTATCCTGACTAACATAGGAGCCAAAGCAGTGCTCTATCCATAATGCCGCAGACTTTAGTGCAAGAAATTAACCTGGTCACATTCACACACTCCTTGAGAATGATCAGATTTCATGTTTCTCAAGACTTTCTTCAACAAAACATTGTCTCTGAAGGAGGATGGTTGATTGTGAAACAGTAACTTCAGGTGTAAAGGTCACTTCTCCCAAAACACATGTCTTCATTCAGTAATTCATTCAAGAGTTCATAAAATCTCTTTCTAAGTACCTATCACCTTCTGCTCCTTCCCATTTCACTAATATTGCTAACTAACAAAACCGCTGGTTTATAGCCTCTATAAAACCAAACAAGAGAAAAATAAAAAGGGAGACATGACTAAGTTTCTCTCTATCATCACAACCATCTCGATTTCTTTTTTTTCCCCTCAGTCAGTGAAGGGAAACTTTATTGAGGGCCCAGGGTCACAGAGGTCAGTCATAAGGCCACCCTGTGGGCCCGAGAAGGTGCTGGAGGGACCTTATTTAACCTTCTTCTTGGGGCACAGGTTGTTGGCATGGCTGCTCTTCTTGAGACAGTTGACAGCACATGGGTGCAGGCAGGCATAACACTTGCAGAAGATCGTGTTGTCGCAGTTGTGCTTCTGCGCAAGTTGGTGGAGGGAGGGCTCCATGACACCACCCCACAGACGAAGCACCAACTGCAGGGTGGACTCTTTCTGAATGTTGTAGTCTGAAAGAGTATAATCATCTTCCAGCTGTTTGCCTGCAAAAACCAGACGCTGCTGGTCAGAAGGGATGCCCTCCTTGTCTTGGATTTTAGCTTTGACAATCTCAATGGTGTCACTGGGCTCAACCTCGAGGGTGATGGTCTTGCCAGTCAGGGTCTTTGCAAAGATCTGCATCTCTGCGTCTGCTGGGGAGGCTTCTCCACTGCCTTGTTGAAAAGAAAGAGGAGACCATGTCAATTTCTTGAGGGCCCTGGCTCAATCCACTTTTAAAGTTTAGAATAGGAAGAAGAGGAACTTCACCCATTCACTGTCTCTAAAATGTCTGGATCTGTCTCAGTGAACCAGCAAGACCAGCACAACACTTTAAAGCCTGAACCACAAGGGCTGGGGACAATTTCATCTTGGTACTCTTCACAAAGGAGACAAGACCTCTTGGCCATTTCTCACTGTAACCAGCTGAAAACCCTACCTTTCAGAGCGCATGAGATTACTGAAATGAAAGGGACCCCCACATATGACTTGTTATTGCAAATGACCAAAATATATCTTTTAAAACATTTCTTTCAAAAGCAGGTCACTTTATCAGTATAAGTTTGAGAAATTATACACATACATATTTTTCTTGGGCTAGGATTTGATGGAAATTTTGATATATTCATCCCCTAATGAAAAGGCCTGTCTGGTGGTTAGGGGCTACATTAAAAGCATGGCCTGGGCCTTGTATAAAAAGCTTATCTATAATTTTGCAGCTGGAATCTGGTTCTGCTGGGAGGAGATGGTCAGAGAAGCCATTACACTCTGACCCAGAAAGCCTCTTCTGAACGTTGCCTAATGCTCCTGTTATACAACATGCAAAATAAATAATCAACCTTAAAAGTCAGGCAGCCAAAGCTCTACTCAAATAATAAGCCTTTTTACAAGCTGCTTATCACCTGCCAAAATCAGCTCCAGAGGAACACCAAGAACTTTAAATTCTATTGTTCTCATTAACTACTTGGGGTAGACAGGCAAGCTTCAATGGCTTTATTGGTTTTCTAAGAGACAAAAGACATGAAGGTTTTCATTTTCCCACACCCTGCCCTTGATCGCAATAATTTAAATATAGCTCCAGTCCCATCATGTCTAAGAGGTCTCTATTAAAAGGGTGAGCTATAAAGGAGTCCTGGCCTTTTCTTAGAAAACATGCCACTCTCTACTTTCCCTCGACCTAATTGTTGGGGTAAGGAAGGTAAGAACATAAACACCAACCTTTTCAGAAAATTTAGTGGGAGAAAGAGACAGGGCAGGATAGAGGCATCTGAAACACAGTCTTTTGCCTGTAAGGGCTCTCTGGCTTAATTACAAAAGGGAAGGAGTTTTGCTCAAGGAAAACTATCCCAAACCACGTTTGGTGCACTTAGGTAGGCCTGACGATACTTAGTTGTTAGCCCAGAATGGCTTGTCTGGGTTTCAAATACAGGGTGGGGCCTCTTGTTAAAGAAATCTGATAGGAGAAACCTGTTATTAAATTCATTTCTGATGAACCATGAAAGGGATTTTGAAATCTATTTGAATTATTTTTCCAGGACCCTCAACCCACAGATGCAAAGCTCAGGATTTACCTGCTCTATAAAACCTTACTACCCTCCTTTCCCCCTCACTGATCCCTCCTGTAAAGTTGGTCCCTTCCTCTACTAGGCTCTATACATACTGAGTGATTCACACTTGTTTCCTTCACTCCTTTGTAGGTTTTCTTAGAACAGGAACTAAACATTATTCATCTCTGCATCCTTATTGTCTATCACAGTCCCTGGAACATTGTAGGTGTTCATTAAATCATTTAATTGACAATAAGATTAATGATTATTATAGTTAATATTTGAATGTTCAGTAACTGTTCAACTGCCTATATTTTTTCTCATTTTCTAGATGAGGAAGCTGAGGCAGTAAAAGGTTAATAAGCTAATAAATGGCAAAACAATGATACAAACTAGGCAATCAGGCTCTAGCACCTTCATTCTTAACCATTACATGGAATGGTACACAGGAATAAATAAGTGAGCTGATAAAAGGGCTATATGTATATGAAACCACTAAACATGAACTTAAATTGATTTGATTTACGTGCCTGGTTTTATTACACAAAAGTGTTTTAAACACCTAGTACTCTGCACTAAGCCCAGTGCTAATAATTAGAGGTACAAACATAAAGGTATGGTCTTATTCCTCAACGAGAAGAGAGACAAATAGCAAAAGCTTATTGAGTATTTACTATGTTCTAGGCACTGTTCTAAATACTTGACTTCTTTAATCTTTACAAATGTATTAACTTCTTTAATCTTTACAAACCCCCTATTAGGATATTACTATTATTATTATTTATTGAATCAAGATGAGACAGATGAGAAATAGGACCAAGGAGGTTAAGCAACTTGTCACCATTTCAACCCAAGCAGCCTAGCCCCAGAGCCCATGGTTTATTCACCATACTTCACTGCCTCTTCTATTTACAATCATACACAACTCTACTATAATGTAATATATGCTACAAGAGAAAAAGAGAAAATGTGCTATGGAAATGCAGAGAAAGTAATGATTCATTTTTCCTGAGAGGAGGTTCAAAAAAGGTTCTGCAAAACAGGTAACACTTGAACTGGACCTTGAAGACATGAAGATAAAGAAATTCAAATACACACAGTACATGGAGACCAGTAAAACTCATATGTATTATCAAAGCCATCACTACTAAAACACAGAGCTAAGTAGCAAGCCCAGCTCTACACTGTTTTCTGCTGCTAATGCCAGTTCTCAAAAAGGAACAGAAAAATAATTAGTGCAACTGTGGCCTGAATTTTTACGTCAGTTTTCCCACTTGGTTCAAACACTACCTGGGGTTTAGTCATCTTTTTAGTATCTGTAGAAACTGCTTTTTGTACAACAGATAATGTTTCTGGAAGGAGATCCTAGGTTTTTTAGTGTAACTGAGGCCAAATCCTACAAGGTTAGCAAAGGAGGCTGAAATTGTCGCCATGTGGCAAAGGGGAACAGCTGGATCTCATGGCCCAAATTTTTTCCACACAAGGAGATGCTCTCCATTTGCTAACTGCAGAGGTTCTAAGTCCAGTTCTATTAAAGACTGTCCGTGGGTTTCCTTAGAGTTTGTTCCACTCAAACCTGCTGTCAATTGCCCTCCCTCAAAATATAGCATCTCTGAGAATTACTGGCTAGTATGCCCAGAAACACATGAGAATAAGGACAACTGATCTCAGCAACCAGAGCAAATTTCTCAGGCAAACTTGTGATTTTTTCTCACATTCTACCGTAAATACCTTCATTTGACCACAGACACCATTCCAGTGACTGCCTCATTTCTCTGCTCTTGATTACAGTAAAACTTCAAAAGATGTGTCTAGCCCTCACTGGCATGGCTCAGTTGGTTGGGCATTGTCCCACAAAGTAAAAGGTTGCCATTTTCAATTCCCAGTCTTGGCACATGCCTGGGTTGCTGGTTTGGTCCCTGGTCAGGGCGCTTACAAGAGGCAACCAATCAATGTTTCTCTCTCATCGATGTTTCTCTTCCTCTTTTGCTCCCTCCCTTCCCCTCCCTCTAAAAATAAATAAATAGATAGATAGATATTCTTTTTAAAAATATTTGTCTATATTCCTCGTCTACAATTTTTCACCTCTTTTTCTTTCCTTTACCCACTCCAATGAGTGGGTATCCAGGCCACTAGTAATTGCTATGTTGCTCAAGTTTGCAGGGAATTCTTGTTTGGCCAGCCAGAAGTACGTTTCACAATTGATCATTCTCTCTTCCTTGAAGCACCTTCTTCACTTGGCTTCCAGGATACTAATCTCTTCTGGACTCCCTTCTACCTTATTGGCCACATCTTGTCAGTTTACTTCGCTAGTTCTTCATCGTCTTCCTAACCTCTCAATGTGAGAATGCCTCAAGGTTGGATCCTTCTCCCCTTCTCTTCTCTAACTACTCTCACTTCCTTGGTGATGCCATCCATCTCTTAGCCTTAAAAACTACCTAGATGCCTCTGCCTCAAAAATTTTTATCTCTAGCTCCTACCATTCCTACGAATGCCAGGTTTATCTCACAGCTTGCTCACCATCTCCATTTAGATATCTAACTGGCATATAAAATTCAACATATCCAAAATTGAGCTGCTGATACTACCCTCAACCCTGTTCTTCTCACAGTCTTTACCATTAGAGTCAGTGGCCACTCCATCCTTGCAGCTGCTCAGGATGAAAACCTGGGCATCATCTTTAACAGAACAAAAAACAGTGTTACACAACTCCAGAAGGCACCAAACACATTTTTTATTCAGTGTTATCTGTGTTATGTGATGTGGTAACCTTGTTCTCCTTTATTCCTCTTTCTCTCATATCCCACAGCTGATATTTTAGCAAATCCATTTGGTTCTACCTTTAAAATATATCCAAAAGTCCAACAAATTCCACCAAATTCCACTGTTACCAGTCAGATCCAGGCCTGTCCCCTTATAATTTATTATCCATAAAACAACCAGAGTGATCCTTTTAAAATATGTCAGATCACATCACCCCTCTACTCAAATTTCCCCAATGCTTCCCATCTCTTTTAGAGTAAAAGTCAAAGTTCATACAAAGACTTACAGACCCTGCATTATTTTTCCCCTTTGGCATTTATTCCTAGTTAATATATTATGTATTTATTTTACATATTTATCTCACTTATTGTCTGTAGCCCACATATGAAATAAGCTCCATAAGGTCAGGAACTTGGTCAATTTTCTTCACAGATGAAGTCTCGGCATCCACAAAAATAGCTGACACAAAGGATACACTCAATATATATTTGTAGATGGAATAAATGAAGTAGATTGGGAAGAGGGAAATGTTTACACATGGGCCAGAATCAAACCAACACACAATATAACAAGTGAAATTGCATTTGAGCCAGCTACTTCTGGGACCAAGTTAGGTGCCAAGAGATGTTCAGTTCCTACTTCCTATTGTGTGTTTTTCCGTTGCTTTCATATTTTACCTGATAAAGTCTCCCTTACCTTCTAAAGAAAAAGAAATTGACCTACATATAGTAAAGAGCTCCCCCTGGTGGAAGAACTCCATCAAAGCAATCCTAAAGAAAATCATTAAACAGTCTAAATTACAAAGATCACAAAGGAAGGGACTCCAATATTTCACAGGAA